ACAATAACAGAGGTTACAAAAATGGAACATAGATTTTGCTTGTATAATGCAGTTAAGACACAGGTGAGCCTCTATGCTGGGGGTATGTGAAACCTGTGGCATGGCATTGTCACATGATGTATCGAGGAGCAGCTAGCAAACTAGAGGATCTCTGGGCCTATATGACAGGCACAAAATCCATGGGATATTTTAAATGGAGAGATGTATGACAGTGCTGTAATCTTACAATACATACTGTGTTTCCCCAAAATAAGACAGGGTCTTATTTTCTTTTGACCCCCCCCCCCAAAATAAGCACTTGGCCTTGGGAGGCCTTATTTTTTTTGAGATCCAGGAAGCGGTGAGGGTGGTCACCTCATGACTGCTGCTGTGCCGCAATATTTTTGGGGAGGGCTTATTTTCGCAGGAAGGCTTATTTTAGCGCATGCACTCAAAAGCCCGATTGGGCTTATTATCCAGGGAGGTCTTATTGTTGGGGGGGGGAAACGGTAGTCAAACCTTCTCAGACTGCAGAATCTATTAGGTTTTTTTTAAAAAAAATCCTAGAACTTTTGATCAAGAGGCAAAGCTGAACTTTTTCACTGGGTTCCAAGGAAAGTCAACACCTCTTAAAAACATCAAGGGAAAAAAAGGCTGTTGACATTAATATTTTTGCATAGTGAAACCACTATATTGTCTCAGACCTACAGAGGTACTGTGTAGTATCTCATCCCATGCCTTGGCTTGGTTGTGCAAGAGAAGCAGTTTGTCAGCACCCAATCTGGCAAAGCAATCTGAACACACGAGAGGTTGCTTTCTTATATCGGTTGGTCCGTACACACCGGATATAAAATTAATCTTGTTATTTAGTATTTTTATTTGCTTAGCTGGAAAAGAATGTTTTACGAGACATTCTTAGGTTAGCGATGTCTGTCTTGTAGCTATCCCTTTTGTGATTATTAGGAAAGATAAATTTACTTGTCTTCTGAAATATTCATAGTTCTGTTCCCAAAATAGCAGACTGCTGACATTCCGATAAAAAGTACTGCATAGAAAGTCTATGAGGAAAATATGTCCAAGTGTATATAAAGAGAAGCATGAAATGTGTTAAGCTATGAGGAATGTTCTTTCTTACCTACACAGAATTATTATTATTTGTCTTAAAATACACCAAGTCTTTTTTCTACATGCTTCTTGGGGAAAAGCAGTTAGGAAAATATAGGACAGGTAAGCTTATCCTGTTCTGTTACTTGTGTATGATGGCTTTTGCGCTTGCCTGAATGCTTGTGCGCTGTGCTGTGTATATGATTTTGTGGTCCTTGTTAAGAGGAAGCTACCTTGCAATGACAGTTTCTGTGTATTTTCAGAACAAATCCACCTAGCCGGATGTGAACTTGTGGTTTCCCCTTCTTTTTCCATAGAATGCCAGCAGTAATCATGATTCCATACCAGATAGTCCTCTGGATCAAAGACCGGATGGTTCAGGGGTAGAACCTTCAGTAACTACAGCTACTCTTGAAAACCACCCAAGTTTGGACTGCCCAGTTTCTTCGGAAATCGAAGCTCAGTCTCCTGAGAGGAGGCATGAATAGAACTGTTCTTGAATCCAGCTCACGGCACTGAATTCTGCTGTTGGCAATCAGAAGACAGATGTGGGAGTTTGAGACCTCACTTCTCTTCCTCTTGGCAATAGTAACCTGACACAGCCAGAGCTTTTAAAATATTTAATGCCTTTTCTGTGACAAAACCTGAGGCCTGTTGCAGGAACGATTTGGAAGGCTAAGCAAAAGCGGCCGGGTTAATAACTAGCAAAGGAGCACGCTATTTCATCTGAAGTTGTTTCCCCATTCCCCGCACCTGAATGGAAGTGTTGTAAACAAACACATTATGATTGTCTTCATAATTTTCTGGATTGTAATTAATTTTCACAGACAAACCACCACCACCACCTCGCCATTCAGTTCCATTTCCTCTTGCTTAATGCAAGAGGAACATTTTAATTCAATATTAGGGAAAGGGAAGACAAGAGCTCATAGCGGTTTTTCTTAAGACAGTGATTATTTATTATGAGGTGCAGGCTTCCCTGGAGCAGTTCTGTAACCGACCGAAACTTAAGAGAAAATACCATAGTTAAATACGGAAATGAAGGAAGGAGCCACATAGAATTCTGTCTTTTGCAAAGACTTCTCAGAGGTGCTGAAGAACTTTTGGCTGGTAAAAGTTCTACGTGAAACATCTGCTGAAGCCTTCCTAACCAGACAAGGGGCATTTTTATGTTGCCACGGCCAGGCCGGAGCGCATTAGCATTTTAGAAAGAACCAGTACAAGAAAATGTGATTGTCCATAACCCTGCAAGAGCAGGATATGGGACGAGATGTGCGGTGGTGGTGTTTGAAGACCTGAACTGTGAGGGTACAGTTGGAAGATACTAATGATTTTATATGGGATGAATTTGCTCTAATCACCGAAGAGGGATTGTCCTACAGAAGCAGTCTATGTGGATTTTTTTTTGGTCTCTGGTGTATGTGATAGGGAAACATGACTCCTTCACCTCAGACAGATCTGAGAAGTTCATATTTGTATATCACAATAACAACAAAGGGTCAGGTATGTCTAGCTTTATTAGATTTTTGGGAGTGGTGATGCTGATATCACTTCCCTAACTGAGGCCTGCAGTCTGTTCTAAAAGCCGGTAATGAGAGGATATTCAGCAGCAGGCATATACCGGTACATCAGCTGCTTCTTGAAAAGTTTTCTTAGCCAGGCCAATATAGTTTATTTTATGATAGAATATGTTTATTTAAGGGGAAAGGGAATAAAATTTATAGAGTGTATTTAAAGTGCCTGCGGATTGGGAAGGGGTACAAATCCTAATTATTGTATAGGAAAGGAAGACATAGTTAATAATAAAAGCAGCTAGAAAAAGAGAAAAAACGGATAGAGCATATTGATCATGTTGTCTTAGCACTATTTTGTCAAGATATTGACATTCGGATTTGACATTTCACTGAATTGAACCCAGTTCTCATACATTCTTTGTTATTATAGCTGAGGGAAAACGTTAGAATCAATTTTATAGTGCTTAGGCTTCAAGCATATACTGTATGTCAAACTTAGCCTTCCATTAAAGGAGTCCCATTCATGTGTGGTTTTGCCCAGATGGTTTTTGAGCCAGTGGGATGCCATTTATGCTCCAGGGGCTGGTGTGGCTCATAAAATTAAACTTTCAGATACTTTGATTTTGAATGCAGAATATGGAATACCTTAAGATAGATGTTAAGGGTGTTTTCCTTACATAAGCCTTAAGGGACTGTAACAATCTGTACCTGGGACCAAATATTGGCAAGTAGTTATTAGCTATTTTTTGCACTTCAACTTAAATGTACTGTAAATTTCTCTTGACTTGTTTAAGTGACCTTTAAAAATAAAATCAGAAATCTATTTATTATATGTTTATATTGCAGAGGGAAGGAAGGAAATGATTTTTTTTTAAAAAAAAAAGTAGATTGAAAATGGTTATTTAAAAAAAAAAAGAGACGATGGATCTTTTTAGATGAACTTATCTGAAGTCTATATGATAAATGCTATGGTAATAACTGTTGATGTTGGATAGCCGAGTTGTAACGCATTGAACTTGCACATTATGTTTACATATCCAACCTGCCTGTCAAAATCGGTTCCTTCCTTGTTCGTGAACAATGGGGCTGTGAACAGCTCTCGTATTTGTGAAGTTGTTAAAATGTAGTGAGATAAATAAAATTCCATGTATGTCAAAAATGGGATGTCCCATTAAAAACATAGATGACCATAGGAGGGGGTGGATTAGCAACTTTTTGTATTTACCAAATGCTTTGTGCTTTTATTCGGCTAGTTTTGAGATACTCACCATTAAGCCTCTCTTCTCCAGTTAATGGCTCTGACTAGTACCAAGTCTTTAAAAAGAGTACAGGATGAAACACAATATTAACAAGATTTTATGATCTAATCTGACCGCTCTGTTTGCAGAAGGGGCGAATGGGTGACTCATCTCATTCAGCATGTTTGTTACCTGCTTTATGTGCACTGAAGTCCTCAATGCTGAGGGAACTTTTTGCTANTGCCCCACTGTTCACATGTGGGCAATTAGTGGGCAACGTGATGCTCACTGCTCAAGTAGCATTCCTACTTTGCTTCCTTTCTCTGCATTCAGATGATGAGTTATCACGAACTTTTGGAAGACCTACATTGTTTCTTTGGCTACGAGTGGAAGTACGCTGGAAAATGAATAAAGTCTTTATAATTTCCCCAGATACGATGCTGATGAAGGAAGGGACAGGTGCTAGATACATGAATGTGTTCTGGCACTCTTTACCACCAACCTCATTCAGTTTTATATTCTTGAAGAGCACACAGGGCTCAAAGTGCAGCTGCACCTTAAAATGGCTACGCACTCTTACCGTGATCAGTATTCGTTGTTTAATGCCAACACTCTTGCAGAAGAACCATCTTTAGAATACATGGTGTTCATGTTTCTGTTCTTTGTAGGTGTAACCCATGCAGCCATCTGGGCAGCTTGCATTTCCTATCTAAGCGCTGCGGTGCCTCCGGAACTGAGGACGTCAGCTCAAGGGATCTTGCAGGGTCTTCACCTTGGCCTGGGCAGAGGATGTGGAGCAATGATTGGTGGAGTGTTGGTCAACTATTTTGGTAAGAGGAACCTGGGCATTTATATATAACTTTTCAGCTGTTTGAAGAGAGCCTTTTCCTCCACCTTTGTGGGAATTGAAGAACTGTGGCAGCAGTCAAAAGTGCTACCAGACTCCTCCTAATTTGGCTTTCCTCAACCAGATGTCGTGTAGTTGTCTTGGGGTCTATGACAATTCGCCATAGCCATCTCTCCACAGGATAACTCACTGCTGGACGAGACTTACACTAATATGAAAGAAGTTGTGGAATAGTAAAGAAAAGATGCAAAAGGAGGGACAGAATGAAATGTGAATGGCAAAAATTAAAATATTTTTTTATTGTAAATAATTTAACAGGATTGTTAAATTGATCCATGGCGAGTTGGCCATGGTAGGTTGGCCATGGTAAGTTGGCTGCAACAAGTTGGCTATGGCAAGTTGTCCTACTCCAGTCGTCTTGCACTGTAATTTTCACTGTTGCAGGCAACCATAGTCAATTTGAATACTTTCCTTTGTTTGGCTGTCATATATGCATGTGGTACGTACATGCATGCACATATGCACACACTCTCTCTTACACACAAAATGCACAGAAAGGAAAAAGTCACACCTAGGAGAATGCAGCCTATATCAATCAGCAAATACCGGTATCAATAACTCAACTATCTGCCATGGTTCAAGAGGCACATCTACAAGTCCTTCAAATTTCATTTCAAAGGGACTTTGCTCACCATCTTCAAGGAAATATTCCACCTGGCACTCTACTTTCTTCTTATTCTCAGCTCATAACCAAAGCCAACTGATTGTGAAATTTTCAGTTCAGTGCAGAAGTAGAGACTTTCTTTTTCTCTCAGCACAAACCTGTTGTTTGCATGATAGATGGTGCTCTTGCAATGACCGTGGTGATTTAGTAGCTGGGTGGGCTGGCTGCTTTGGGATGCAGCCTCCCTCCCCTCTGGTAATTACTGCTATTATTAGATGTGTACACGGCCCAAAGTTGCTCTATGGGAAAGATGGGCAGTTTCTAAATGTGATATTTTATTCCACTCAAGAGAGAGAAATAAGAGATTGTTCCTGATAAACACAAAGAGAGATTTGCAAACTGTACTAGGAAGTTTTCAAGCGGATAAATTTGGTGGCACAGGAAAGGTCCACGCAAGCTGTACCTCTGATCCGATACTGTGCCACCAAATGTATCTGCTTGAAAACTTCCTAGTACTCGGGATTTATCCACGTGGCTAGAAACGCCAAAGTCCAAAACTCTCTTTGGTTTCTCTTTATCTAGTTTTAGGATTTGAGTGTAGAATAGATGATATTTTAGGTCAGATTTATGCAGAAATACTGAAAATTCAAATGGTGTCATAATTTTTTAAGCACCGCTGTAACAATCAGATGCCTTTGCTGATTTACATCAAACACCCAGCTGTATTTTCCACCCACTTCTGAATTATTCATATTTTGGAAAGCTGGCCGATTCGGAAATCATGAAGCGAAACTACAATCTCTTTTCTTCAGAGTTTGCAGCAGATAAAAGTGGTCTTTTTCAAAGGAAACGGGGAAAATATTCCAAGTGTAATATCCAATGAGTACCAAACTTTTAGTATTAAAATGATTTTTTTTTTCAATACAGGCTTCTCCTGGGAACACTTCTTTTCACACTTTCCAATTCCAGTTATAAGCTGAAATCGACAAGTGTGCACATTTCTAATGAAACCTGAGACCCCTAATAAGTCCTTAAAGAACAATAGCTATTAAAAAGCCTCTCGTATTGTAGCATAAATGAAACCTATAATAATTACCTTGTGTAATTTCCTTAATGTATACTGTAAGGCAGTGTTTCTCAACCTTGGCAACTTGAAGATGTCCGGACTTCAACTCCCAGAATTCCCCAGCCAGCATTCGCTGGCTGGGGAATTCT